TTACCGATATTATTGAGGATATCAAGGATAGGAAATCATCAACTGACGCCTAGGACATATCGTCAAAAGTCGAGTACTTGGTTGTCGCCGAAGGACAGCATTCGTGATGGCGTTTACCCAGTGTGTGAGCGAGGCCAACATGGTGTGTTTAGAAGGGAACGCATGGCTAAACGACGACGTTATTGTTGCGTTTATAACAAAGGTGGCGCATGGAACGATGTTTTCTTGTTTGGATCCTTGTTTGATACAGACAGGGGAATCCTATAGAATTTCGGCCTATCCTATGGTGACTGGGGAACTCTTGTTTCCACTGAACATGTATAGCGGAAGGCATTGGAGTCTTGCTTGGCTGCGAATTCTCCATGGGACTATTGTTCTATATGATTCAATGGCTCAGATGTATTCGTACTGTGCATCTATGCTTCCTGTTCCCGAAAAGAATATGCTGGAAAGCGTTTGGCGGAAAGTAACGAATAGGCAGCTGCGAGGTATCATAGTTTCTGGAGCAGTGCATGTACAGAATGATGGCCACAACTGTGGAGTATTTGTATGCCTTTATGCTGAACGTTTGTGTAAAGGTGAGGAAACTGTTCAAGAGGATGCTACAGCGTCATTTTTATTGGCTTATCGTCAACACATCAGACAAGTTATTACAGGAAGTAGCTCAGTGACTCGTGGAATACATGGAGAATTTCCGCATACGGATATTAATGCAAACGTTTGCTTCTGTGAACCAGCGCAATACGGAATTTCTGCAAGCGCTATTGAGCATAGCGACATCGAGGATGGTGCTACTTCTGCAATCACTGCTGATCTTCAAGATGGCTGTAGTACTGTGAACGATTTTGATTGGAATGAAGGATTCACGGAGAGTGAAGCTGTCGATGATTTTGCTCGAGCATCATTTTCTAATCATGTAATGTTGGAAAACATGTGGATTTCACCGTGCATACTTGCACAGTACTTGCGGAAAAAGTATGCATACCTTGATTATATACGCTTCATTGTCATCGATTGCGACGAGTGTTCGATTGGCGAAGATGGGATGATTGAAGTGCAGTTGTTAGTTGTTTTATTCGCCACTAGAACGAAGCATCTGGGAGCTGTTGTTATAAGAAAGGAATTTCCCAAAAGTCATGGTGTGATCCTGGATTTTGTTGGAAAGCACATCGAGCATGTATTTCGACGTCGTTTGAAGGCCGTTGCTGTTATGCAAGGAATCGGGGACGTGTCATTTTTGAAATATCCTGTTATGAAAGATCCCAAGTGGTTACGTTTGGAAGTGCAGGCGACCGCTATAATTGGGTGGATAGACGGCTTCGTGAACGACGTAGATTTAATCGTAGAAATTCCTGATGATGATTTTGTTCGCTACACTTGTGATGATATAGAGAGTGTGTTGAAAATCTCTCTTGTTCGAGAACGTAGTAGACGCAGTGACAGAAGAAGGAATGCTGTTTGCGACAGGATTGACCCGGAGTTTTACACGATTGGAGAAATGAACAAGATATGTGGAGCGTGCGGTGCATTGCTGTTTCAAAAGGAGAAGCAATCTTCATGTTGTAACGGTGGAGAAGTATTTGTGCCTACTGAAGTTTTCAATCCGATTAGAGATCCTTTGTTGGAGTCATTTTGGAAAACTATGTTGAGCAATGAGCAACTGTTCTACATGATTCGACCTTTGAATAATCTTCTGGCATGTGCTGGCGTGCAGCTGAATTTGCGGCAGTTCCCTGGAGGGTCTGGACAAAGGCCTTTAGTCTTGCAAGGGCGCTTTGATGTTGGGTTGTGTCATCTGAATGTCGACTCGGAGAGAGCTTCTTTTGCTCAAATATACATCGCCGATGACTTCAAAGTGCAACGATCTATACGGGAAGTAATGCAAAATTGGGAGACTAAAATCGATTATTCACTGATACAGAATGTGATGGCTATTTTGAAAAAGCATAATCCCATAGTGCAATCATACATGACTATGTATGAAATCTATATGGAAGAGTTGAAGAGATTTGGTAAGAAGAAAAACGAGAATATTCCTCAAGTTGTGATGAACATCAAGCAAAAGAGGGAAATTCCATCTGCAGTCATGAGAAACGTACACCCGGGAACACTTAATCTTCCCGTATTTGAAAATCAAATAGCAGCAATTTATTTGTGCAAAGATGGCGTCATGCCTTCTCACGAGGAGTTAAATGCGGGATTGATAATAAAGTCACGGGGTGGCAAAACGATTGCACCTCATCATAGTTACAATATCGATGCACTTACGTACCCGTTGTACTTTCCTCGAGGAGAGCAAACATTTGTGAAGGATGCGTTACCTAAAAATCGTTCAAGAAAGCGTGCACGCGAGGTTGCTGGAGATTGTTGTAACGAGCAGTATCTTGAAGGCGTCTATACTGATGCAGGTGTTGATGACATGTATGAGGATGATGATGATGGAGACGAGAATACACGGAGGAATAAGCAAGGGCGTAAATCATGTTTCATCTCTCGTCGGGAATTTGTCGTATACATCCTTGCTCGACGTGCAGATTTTCGTAATCATCGTATCATAGGAACTGGAAAACTTTACGCTCAGTACGTGTTGCACAGTTTTGCTCGCATCGAAGCAGACAGATTATGCGCTATTGGCAAACATCTGACAGAGGTCCGGAGTACAACTGCAAGTGCTTTGTTCAAGTATCTGGATGGCAAGTTAAATGAAAAAGGCGTGAAGTTGGGAAAACTTGTTAATATGCCAAGAATATGTTGGTAGTAGGAATTGGTATCAAAGATTGTACAGTGACGCTATGGCTGTCTCTCTGAAACTAGGAAAACCCGATTTGTTCATCACATTCACTGGGAATCAAGAGTGGCCGGAGATCAAAAACAACTTTGTTGGAAAATTTGATTCATGGATAACAGACCCTTTTTTATGTTGCCGCGTATTTTTTTTACGTCTCACGGAATTCATCGATGACATCAAGAGGAAGGAGATCTTCGGAAAAGTAGTCGCGCTGCATGGAAGTATAGAATTCCAGAAGCGTGGAATGCCTCACGCTCATCTTTTGGTTACGTTAGCTAACAAAGTTGACACGCCTGAGAAGATAGACTCCATTATATCGGCTGAGCTTCCGGACTACCCAAAGAGAGATGATCCAGAGAGGGAACGTAAATTGCGGCTTTTCGAGCTCGTACGAAAACATATGATACATGGACCTTGCTCTGAGCGGCCTGAACTTGGATGCCGTGATGCTAATGGTGCGAACTGCTCGAAAGGATATCCGAAACCATATAGAAATTTTACTGAATTGTGCAGTGGTGGTTATCCACTTTATCGGAGAAGGGATGATGGTAAAGTAGCTGTAGTAGGCAAGCTGGGCAGAACGTTTGCTACTAACAGGGATGTAGTGCCAACCAATTTGTGGCTTCTTCAGAAACACGAATGTCACGTAAACGTGGAAGTTTGTGCTGCGATTCAAGCATTCAAATATATTTTCAAATACGTGTTCAAAGGTCCGGATTCTGTCGTGTTGGAGCTACTGCACAATGATGATTTGATGAAGAAAAATGTGTACTTGAATGAGAAGAAGGAGAAGTGCTTGAATCTCGATATGCGGGAAGTCTACAGGCTGGCTCGTTATGTGTCTCACATGGAAGCAGCATATCGCATATTACGTTATCCTATGCACTACACGATGCATACTGTTATCACGCTCATACCGCATCTACCAAATGAAGAACCGATATATTTCACGAGCACGGCAAAACCACCGAAAAGGAAAAAGAGCAAGCTGTTGGCTTACTTCGATCTTGTGAAAGAAGATGACCGTGCTAGAAATATGACATGGGTGGAAGTTGCTGAAAACTATCGCTTCACCGGTACGAAATATGTACCTTATAAACGCAAAGGATTACGCATAGCCAGATTGAGTTCAGTGAATCCGAAAATGCTTGAATTATATGCTCTAAGAAAACTTCTGCTGTACAAAAAAGGTGTGCAGAGTTTTGAGCATTTGAGAACTCACCGTGGTAAAGTATACAAATCTTTTATGGAAGCCGCGCAAGCTGCTGGTTATATAGAGAAGACCACGGAATGGGAAGATTGCTTGCGGTCTGCTTCAGCAACAGATATGCCATCGGAACTGAGACGGCTTTTTGCGCACATTGTTCTTTATTGTAAACCGTCAAATACAGTGGAATTATGGCATAAGTTCAAGGCTGAGATGCGTTCGAATAGACGTTGCGATTCGTATGCGGAGGAAGACTTGAAACGATTAAGTGTATCAAAGGAATAATCACAGCAAATGGGATGACTATGGCGGATTGTGGTCTTGATGAGGTTTATGACGAGCTTATCAATAATGCAACTTCTTCTAGCAACGTTTCTGAAGCTGTGGAAGAGGATGTCAACCGCACGGAGTATGACAATCGAGTGGAATTTTTAAACGAGAAGCAGAGAAGGATTGTCACGGATGTAATGAATGTGGCGAAGACAAGGAAAACAAGCGGAAATCGCATGTTTTTTGTTTACGGTAAAGCGGGATGCGGTAAAACGTACGGGAGACGGTCAAGAGGCGCGATTTCTGTGGGTGTCACTAACTCAAAACTCAAGTTTAAGGGCTACGCAAGTCTTCAAAAGGCACCAGACAAAGTACATTGGTTTACTAGTCATCTAAAATTACTACTTGCTGAGTTTGAAGGCTTTTGCTGGAAATCCGACCAAAATAAATACAAATTTGTTATCAATTGCATTTTCATGAGTTTTTGACCTTCAAAATTATCATTTTGAATCGCTTTTGAAATAGTAAGCCTGGAAAACTCGTACAACCATCTAATATATCTCTCCCAAACTCTAAAATACTTCCAGAACCTTACAAAACATTAAATATGTGCTATTTGCTGTCCAGCTGGCAACAAAAATCGCGCCTCTTGACATACACCCAAAACGTACACGTTCAACACGTTGATTCGGTCATTGCGAAATGATGGTTTATCGGTGATTGCTGTTGCCGTACATGTACAACAATCTAGTAAATCCATTACTGCTGGAAGTCTCATGGTAAGCGGATCGTCTTTCTTTTTACGAATCTGAAGATCAAGATTTCATGACCATCATGTCACTTTTAGGTATCATATCCCGTTCGTAGTGTTTATGAAGACCGAGGATCTCGATCTGCCAGCATTCTACTTCGAGCCGCTTATCAATCCGATCGCGATAAGTGAACTTGAAAAGGTCAGAACTTTTCGACTTTTCAGTATCCATAGATTCTGTCAGTGGGTATGTGGTTCCCTAAGAATAAGCTGGTGTTGAGATGCGCAAATGTGTTGGGTTTTGCTGTAAGAACCTAGGGATTTCCCTGAATGATTGCGCGAATGCAAACTTTCTAGGCGTGATTGACAATAGTACTGTAGATGTGTTGGTCTAGATTTAGGATGTGACTGTTTAGTGATGCCGTGCTAGTAGTAGTTGTTCTTCCACAATGAGAGTGAAAATCTGCGTTTAAGACCGTGGAAAATCTCCCCAATGTTGTAGAAATGGAGGAATTTGAACTTCTGGAAGACATTGCGTCAATATTCGAGGAGGTATAATATTTAGCTCTCTACCTCGCATCAAGTCATCGAACCGTATAGTCTAGGTCCCATTGTACACTGACAATACCAGTAATGAAATTGCTTTGCTATGAGCTCCAAGAGCATTTAACATCCGTTCGGGACGGAGCCGTAGAACCATCGATGTTTCTTTGGTAGAGAGTTGGTACACAGAGCATTGCCCAGCTGGTGAGCACCCTTTTTTCTGATATCATTCACTTGTATATAATGCTTTTTTTTGAACAACTGACGCCTTAGGTATGACTGTGAAAGTCTGTTTGTCGTATCAGAAGCTGCTTGAAGTGTTTGTGCTGAATGTTCTGAAAGATCATCCACCGAAACCACAAAAGAGGAAGTACGAGGAACCGTTCCGTTGAAATCATGGCAAATTCTGAATTGTCTGTTTAGTATAATAAAATCATGTTCAGGTATCTGTTCCGCTCATTCAAATGGACCAAGTTCTTCCAAATTACCACCCTTGACTGGGTCGAAGCCGGTTTGCGGTAAGCTTCTTTACATACTGTACAGATTGACTTAATTTTTGGTAAATTTGGGTCGATATACAAGCACTGTCGTTTCGTCATTCTTCCAGATGCTTCACCAAAATTACGACATGTTAAACTTTTTAATCCATCGTAAGAACCTGAAGTACCTCCATCTGGATTAGAATTTCAAAGTAAGACTTTTTGTGCGGCAGTTAGTTGTTCTTTGGTTTTCTATTCTTTTTTCGACCGTCTGAACCGCATTGTGATTCGTAGCTAATTAAGCTGCTTTCAGCCCGTGAAAATCTTTACCACTAAAGAGCGTAAGAGATCTTATTTCGGTAACGCGTTCCATTTGTGTCGTGAGATTTTGAGACTCACCAAGTTGGTTGTCCACGCACATGTGCAATACAGGTAGGTTTCTGTTCACTCATTGGTACAAACATGAATACAACATGAATACATAACATTATTAGGCTGAACAACGTTGATGCTTATCAGCTAGGAGATGGTCTGCAGTACATTTTTGCTCATGTTGGACAGCTTAACGGAGTTTACCGTTACCAGTATAAGCTGATAAGACAGGTAAGCGTGCATCTTGACCTGAGCTTTTTGTAGAGTTTTCCACTTGCATTATGGCTTTTTAGGTTCGTATGTGCAGAGATCTGAAGCATATCATCTACTATCGCTTCAATACCGAACCAGTCGGTAAGATAGACTTCTAACCCAGTACTCGCGCACTCTGACCATCTCTACTTCTTTTCAGGAAAGGGACGCGGTTGTGGTTTCTGGGCTCTAGGTTAGCAAGTGTGGCTGTTCTTCTTCAGGGGAATTACGCCAGTGCTCGAAAGATTGCCTGGAAACTTGCTCTCTCGACAGTTTGTGTTCTAGGGAGCCACCTTACAAGTTTTATCTGTTGAAAATCATTGGTCATCATTTTGTTCACTTCTCTTCATTTTCGGTTGTATTTTTGCTCAGGTATATCTCTATATATACATTATAGATTTGATAGTTTTTTCGCTTTGCTAGCTTTTTCCGATTTGATAGTTTTTTCGCTTTGCTAGCTTATTCCGACCTGATTATATATTATTGACATGTAGTTCTTGATACTATTGTTGCTGTGTGTTATCTGTGTGATACACAGCAATGGAAATGGCTTCGCTTTAAATTCGTAATTCAATACTATCGTTGATGGAGGACAAAGGGTGCCTAAGATAGATACCTGACAGGTGTCAGTTTGTTTTGGTCTTCTGAAATAATCTTGAAAACTCTCATTCAGGCTGTTCCCATCATGGGTCAAGCCTGGTGACACTGAGCCATCTCCACTTCTTGTCTACAAATGGTGCCAGGGTATTAAGAACTTGTAAGATGTGTGAGTAAGTGGAGAAGGTATATCTTAAGATGAACAAAATAATTTTCGTCTCTCTCATCTAATTTTATCTAGGAGGATGTAACATGATGATGGAGGCTAAATTGGAGAAAGTAGTTAAAAAGATAGATTTGGCACTGCTGAATATTGCTGAGGTAAGTCCCTTCTGGTGTGTGGAAAAGCAGTTTTGAATTAAGTTCTCTTTTAGGCTGTACATGTCGTCAAAGAACAACGTTCTCATAAAATACAAAGATATGAACCACACGATTTGCTTTGCAATCATCAGAGACTTCAGTTTGTTTTGTTCATCGTACAGGTAAGTGTTGAACCTTTAGTGCCCAGAATTATGGTTTTGACTTTTCAACATGGATGTTAGTATCTCATTTTTAGTACTACGGTTTGGTGCTCGATCTCCTCATTCTCGGTCTGCAACGAGCAGAGTGATGATTCCTGCTTCAGGCCACCAAAGAATGTACTGCACAGTGTTTCCTGAAAGTCGACGAAGAATCCATGTCTAAGTTTCATAAGAGAATCGGACAGATTCATATGTCCTCTGATCAACGATTTTCACAAACATCTACTTTTTAACCTTTCTCTCTGATTTGTATTGCGCGTTTGTCAGTGCCCTTTTGATTTGGGCATTGACAAACTCCTCATTTTAGGTTCTATTTTTGTTCAGATATGTCTTTCTATATACATTATAGATTTGATAGTTTTGTCGCTTTGCTAGCTTTTTCCGATCTGGTTATATATTCTTGACATGTAGTTGTTGATACTATTGCTGCTGTGTGTTATCTCATATATATATATATGAATAAACTGCAGTAGTACAGATAGTCTAGGTTAGGTTTATACCTATAAAATACTTCAATGTGTTTATCTTGCCATGAATGGCATCTATAGAGGGTAGAGGAAGTGTCAAGGAAGTAATTTCTTACACGAATACTTCACTGGGCCGCTAGTAATGCAAAAATTTAGCAGTACAGAGAAAAAATGCACAGAAATGGACGGCGTCACTTTGAAAAGGCGTCAGCAGGCGTATTGGTCCCAAAATAGGCAGACCGTGCTCTTGCCCGAGTAACATCCCAAAATTATGCATTGCGGGTGCGTGTGCCCGCGCCCAACCCAGGAACGAAGAAGTTGAGCCTTAGAGTTAAGCAACAGATTTGCTCTTAGTTGAGCCAGTCAAAAACACGGTGCAGGCGAGGCCGGGCATATCAGCTAATATATGCATGAGCGTGGAAACAGCTTTTCGAGGCGAGTTGTTTGATAAATAGCTTGTTTGGTATAGGTTATGTTTTGATCGTATCCCCTCAACACTGTTGGATGGTGAATGCACAGTATCGTCATAATTCTCAAAGAAGTTGCCGCACTCCGGTGGAGTGCGCTGCAATGCGCCGAATTGCAGTAGAGTGCGCCGGAGTGCGTTAGAGCGCGCCGCATTTCGTTAGAGTGGACCGGAATCCGCGTCGCATCGCCATATCCCGTTTCAGAATGGTAGTATTCCGAATTCAAGGACATTGTTCGATTCAGCTTGGCGAAACGCGTCATCTAGTGCATAGCAGTGCCACAGTCTGGCGAGGTACCGTATGTATATGGTAGACAGCCAGTTTTCATTTTGCAGAATTGCTTTGGTTGGATTGTTCAATATGCTGATAACAATGTTACTGTTTTTGTAGGGTATCGTGCACTAGAAAGTAGCCGCAGACTTCTTTCCAAAAAAGACAAAATGCTTGATAAATTTCAAAAAATCACGCGTTTCCAAAATCTACTCGCTGTAACCTTTTTCGAATGAGTATATTCCGAATCCAAAAAATCAATGTGCTTAGCTAATCAGAGAAATTTTTCGATATACAGCTTGTCCTTAATATTCCGATTTCAGTATTCTTGCATCTTTCTGCGTATGTCGCTTCTCAAAGGTGTAAAGCAGCGCGAAGTAGTTGCAGGCGTCTTTCCAAAGAAGATGAAAAGGCTGGTAAGTCGTGGAACACTCTTGTCGTCTCGTTCTATTTTTCATAGTTCTAAAGTACGAAGTTATCTTGCTAAGCAGATATGAGATTCGTAATCAGCAGGTCAGATAACCTATTGAGCAAGTTTTCAGAAAACTTTGAGTTATTTGAATCATTCTTGTTTCACGCTCTGACGCCTGTAGTTTTGATGTTGATGATCTTGGTTTGAAAGAAAACTTCGCTTATAGAGGTTTTCGAACACGCTGTTCATGAAGATCGTGGCCTCTGTCAAGTACAGGTGCTCATAGTAAACCCCCCGTCGCATCTCCTCTGAGGCGGGCCTAGGTTGGCCTTACGGCGCTTCAGCGCAGTTCAAGCGAGCCATCGATCTGGATGCGGATCGTTCTGTAGGCATGATAAATACTGCGTGTTCTCAAAGAAAAAACAGCTCGAGAGATTGTGAAGGTTTGGTTAAACGGCTAAGACTAGTGTGATACATGCGGTACAGGGTTCGCGATCGGCGGGTGCCGACATTTTTGCTATATCGCCGGGGCAAATTTTGATAGCAGCCACTATCGAAAAAATCGATAGTGGGCGCTGTCTTTGCTGCGCAAACGAGGACATAAACCGGATACAATAACTCAGCACTATCATCCATAAAAAATCTTTAGTCATAAAAAACCATGAAAAAGATTTTTAGAAGATAAAGAGATAGTTTGATTTCTATTTTAAGCTTCTTCGAAAAATACGAAAATTTGATCGACATAGCTCAACGAAATATGTAGAAAAACTTGATAGCCCATTTTTGCTGCGGTCAGCTGTTCATTGATCAACCCTATCCGTATGCCACCCTATTTGTGCAATTTCGGGCACTGTCGTCCGCAGAATTAGCCAGCTGACCTCAGACACTGGGACCGGCCGAGCCGCGGCCTCAAAAGGCCTTTTCGTGCCGTCCGCGGCCTTAATTTGTGGGCGTGGCCGGAGTGCGGCCGAGCCGCGGACCTTAATTCATGTCACTACATCGCACCGGCCGAGCCGCGGACTGAATATGGCTTACCGGTTCAGCCGCGGCCTTAATGATGGGGGTGGAGCATTGCACCGGCTGAGCCGCGGACCAAAATCTTTATAATGAAATTCCGGCCGAGCCGCGGCCCTTGTCAGATAAGGTCCGCGGCTCGGCCGCTCCCAGAATCTGAGCATAAAGAATACTTGCGTGATGTACGACGCATGATCAGGCTGCCCTCAGTGTCCATAGTCTTGGGTGCCCTTCCAGTCTCCAAGGCGGAAACAAGATCAATATGTTGTACATCCTTGGATAGCACACTGTGTTGTCCAACGTTGAAGTTGGACTTGGTACCCGAAGCCGCTATATGGTGGCTCCAATTTCTGTTTTTTTACTGTGTAGTTCTAAGTGCCAATAGATAAAAAAACAGTTCTATTGTATCCGAGCTGAATGAACTAGACGGCCCGACACCAGCTCCGGCTGAGCCGCGGCCCATCTCCGGCCGGGCCGCGGACGCTGCGTAATTCCAGCCGGAAAAGGGCCGCGGCTCGTCCGCTCCCAGTGTCTGAGACGTGACTCCTAAGTTACACACGGGCAACTTACGGGATTTGTGTCTGCGTCTCCTTGCAGACACGCTATCTCCGCAAGCCAGGCCTACGGCGACGGCTTTGTTTAGGGCAGGCAGCGCAGCTCATTGCGGCCGCTGATCGGCCCCTTGGCTGTCAGCTCATTCCCATTCTTAATGCACTGCAGCAAAGGAGATCGTAAGATTAGCTTACGGATCTTTTCTGAGGGGGTCAGCGCAGATTATCTGAGCTGAGAGGGGGTTTACTACGGGCCACTGGTCTTTTTTGCGGAGATATGGTGAGGTGATAGTCACGAAAGCGTAACTTCGCCTGCACCTCTTCTCGCGTATCTGTTAGAAAACTTGCCTGCTTGCTTTTCAAGCTTTCAAAGTTACTAGGAACTGTGCCAACGAATGGTGCACACCTCAGGCTCCCTCCGCAACACTCGCCGAGTTACGAGCCTACGAAAACGCGTCCTCATACATTTTGCCCAAAATGTAGATGTAATGTAGAAATAAAGATGTCGTACTTCGGCGAAATTCCACCATGAGTGGTTGTATAACAAGGTGATCAGATCTTCTCACATCCCATGATGGATCCTATTGTGTTGAATTTGATAGTTAGCTAGATCTGAGCTCTAGCTCTTAAGCTGCTTTGATAAGATTGAGTTGAAGCACACGCAGCCACCATGTTCAATACAGTGGGATCCCTTTGGCGAAGTAAACATAATAATTGCAATCAGACTGTCATACAGCCGCTAACAGTGGAATTTCGCTGAAGTATGACATCTTTACATACTCGGCAAAATGCATGAGGCTAAGGGAACTCCAGAAATTCAACGAGAGAGGGCAATGGATGAACAATTGAAGAGGGAAGAAGGAAAATACACCGAGATACACAAGAAGATCGGCATGCTATGATATCGTTAAATTTGTCTTGTCGCGGTCAATCGCGCCGATTTTTTCGCGTGAACTCTGCCTGAGGCCTCATCGGTGGTGGAATTTCGAGAAGTATGACATTCTTTCAATTTGGGCAGAATGCATGAAGGACGTGTTTTCGTAGGCCCGTAACTCGGCAATTTTTATAGATTGGAGCCTGAGGCATGCACCATTCGATAACACAGTTCCTACTGACTCTAACCTTTGAAAGCAAGCGGGCAATTTTTCTGATGGATACGCGAGAACTGCAGGCAAAGTTACGAACTTTTATGACTCAGTTACAATTACCTTACAATATCTCTGCAAGAAAACCCTGTATTTTTCAAAAATTACTATTTTCGTAAACAGCGTGCGAAAACCTCTATAAGCGAAGCTTCCTCTTCAATCCGAGACCATCAATATTTCAGCCGGAACCCATCGGAAGGCTTCGGAGCGTAAAAGAGAGAAAATCAAAAAGCTCGAACTTTTTGGAAAACTCGCTCGTAGAGGTTATCTGACCTGCTAATTACGAAAGTCACTTTTGCTTAGCAATATAGCTTCGTATTCTAGGGTTATGACGAATAGAATTTGGAACGACAAGATTTTTTCACAATTCACTAAGCCTTCTATCTCCTTCGGAAAGAAATCTGCGGATACTTTCTAACAACCCATAATCTACAGAAAAAGTACTATGGAGTTGTCCTTAATGGGGTCTACTAAGGGCAGTGTGCACTAATTTACACTTTTGCGAAGAGACGTAATGCTTTCTTCAGAGAATTCTGAAGGAAGTTACGACAAATAGAATTTGGAAACTCGTGATTTTTCTAGAAAACCCTTAACTCCCTTTTGTAAAGAAGCCTGCAGCTACTTTTTGGCGCACGATAGCCTACTAGAACAGTACTGTCGAGCAGTACTAACTGGAATTTTTTATGGTACACAGACACTGCGTTACACTCTTGCAAACAGACCTCCGTAGAAGAATTTGAAAGAACTGGAAAGAGAATGTCGA